TGAAATTATCAAAAGTAAACATATATCTTAGGAGTTATGATTATGAAATTGAAATTTTCTGAACTGTATCAAGATCTTTTATTCATTTTCGTCAGGTCTGACATCGACGTTCCTTCACATACATCCTAAAGGAGCTAGTGTTGACTATATCTGGTCATTTATTCAACAATTTGATAAGGAAATCCGTCCATCTGACATAGAAACAATGTTAAACCAGTAAGTATATGAGTTTGGTTTATTTGCAATTACAAGTTACCAACTTCGTAATGATAGATTTTTATACAAATCTTTTGATATTGCTAAACAAGTTTTTAAATTGTCATGATTAACTTTCTCTCAGTTTCATGATATACTGGCAAACCAGTATATGCAAGTTAATTTTAAATCATTGTAATGGCCTATTGATACAATTGCTGATATTCAGAAACACTTCACACCTTAAATGGAGAGCCTGACTGGCATCTCGTGACTGTCAGGCAATCGCCATTTTCTGGCTCACCCCACAGCCAACAATGATATGCTAATAGGCACGTGATGCTAGTCCAGCTCTCTGTTTCAGGTGTCTTAAATGTCTCTGAATATGAGTGAGTCTTGGATATGACCTCTTCCTAATAGAACAGATTTGAATACAGTTTCTGTAATAAGTTTTAGTACCTCTCTGTTTTCTGTTTTAACAGAAATATTGATAATATTATAGTGCTAATAGAGTTATTTTCAAATCCTCAAAGGTATCCAACGGTCTTCAAGCAAATCACAACTGGGGTTGGTGCTTGTCTCGAACGCAAGTGGATCTTCACGGGCTTCGAATGCTCCATGTGAAGCTTTTTTTCTTTTTCTTTCTTTAATGACTATAAATCTTCCTTCAAAGAATTTATTTGAATTTTTTTTTTTTTTTTTTTTTTATTATGAATTTTGTTATATCTGCCATTTTTCCTCTCAGTTTTAAGCATTTTTGTGTAATTTAGTATTGTTTTGTAATGTTAAACAATTGAGATTTTTATCAGCCAAAATAATACATCCATTATATAATAGGACCAATTATTTTTGCTACATCTTATGATTTCTTTCACTTTGTGTCTGTTAACCCATTTGCTGGAACATTCTATTTTTACCATATGTTTTTTTTTTTTCTGTTTCTAAATTTATTTTCCAAGAGTGTGTATGTGGCAAAGGATAAAGGACAAGGAGGTGTTTGGTGGCAGTGAATAATCATTTTGTCCAATGTTCTTCTATTTTGATTTTTGTGAGAAAAAAATATTGATGGGGGGGATAAGTGACGCTAGTTTTCTTCTGATGTTGTTTTTTATTATTTTTATTCAGAGTTGTGATTTTAAAGGTTGCTTTCATGTGGGGGATAGGGGGGAGGGAAATGTGAAAGGAATAACCACTAAAATGTGCCAAGCATACTTGCCCCTGGCAGCAAGTGGGTTATGAGAGAGTAATTTCCTAGTCTAATGTTATATTTGATATATGATAAAGAGGCCTGCTTAATTTATCACACATTTGATAATTAACAAGGGTCAGGTATATAATACAGTAATGCCTTTTTGTTATGCCATAAACCCTAATTTTGCTTCTGTTGATATTTGATACAGAAAATTGACGAGATGCTTTTAGCTGGAGATTTGAATAAGTATAATTATAAAACCAAAAGGATTTAGGAAAAAATTGTAATATGTAATGGAGATTCCACTCAACTGTTTATCTCAGTGTGGTATATTCAAAATAGAACATAGTTTCCCCCAAAAATGGCATTATAAAAAGGCTTTATTGTAGCAATGAAATTATTGTATGATGTACAGTTAATTGTTATAGATTTTTATTAAGAAACTTTTATATATAGTCTCTTTCTAGTGGCACAGATTTCAAGCCAAACCACTATATGGGCTGAAAATTGAAATAGTCCAATCTTTGGATGGATTAAAGATTTCTCATTAGCTGTATGCCTTTAGCATTTCAATGTTATTTGTTTCACACAGTAGCAATATCAATAATGTCTAAGATTCACTCATAATTGACTGATTAATTGCACAGTCTGTTGCCATCAGAGTTCGTTTAATGCTGCATTATCTTTAAAAGCTCTCTTACAACAATAGTAAATATTTGCAAATCACTTTTTCCTTTTTTAATATTATTCTGCATTTTTCCCAGTATTTCTGTTACTGATTGAAATTCTTGTAAATGGGTTGTAATATATGTTATATATATTTTATTTGTTAAGTGCAAGGTTTATTGACCTATCTTGCATTTCTCTGTCTAAACAAAAACTTTTGTAGTAAAACATTTTTCTCTGGACTGGAAGAAAAGAATTACAGCAATGTATGAATTTATTTAGCCCTTCTTCGTTCAACAAGTTTGCCACATCGTACATACAAGATAATTTTGTTATAGAATCTGGAAAATCTTCTCTTTCATTAGGGTCAGTTATACATTAGGTTGGGACATTTATAAAATATACACTGCAATGATTTTGTATCTACCTATATAAAATGTGGATATAATAGACTTCCTTCAGTATATTGCAGTGAACATTATCACATGTGAAATGACTTGAGCCTCCAAAATCCTGATGTAAAGAGCCGAGGCATCTCATTTCTTACTTCAGTTCAAGCATTCTGAGTTGCATTGTTTTTTCAGATTACATTGTAAAAGATACAATTCACTTATGCTTTCTCTGCCGTATTTCTTATCTGTGTGCATGAATTGAGGTGCACTTCAAAATACTTGATACAGTTTTATGTCATATCTAAATCTGCAGCCTTATACTCTATACAAGGAGATAGCTGGAGAATTGTCCATATTATTCAGCTTTTCATTAGACCAAGGGCAAGCCAATGATATACATGCATATATATAAATTTCAATGATTAAACATATATATAGATAGATATATATAATTTGTGTATGTGTGCATGTGTGAAATTCTCCAACATATCCAAAAATACATAACATTGTGTTTATACCATTGAACTGCAACTGCCTTATAAGATATTGATATGGTATCCAGGATCTAAGGAAAGGGAATGCAAAATGATAGTAATACTGAAGATGAAGCTTTTAACTTCTGCAATTATATGAAAAGCTTTAAATTTGACCCAGCTTTACAACAGCAAGTCTGTACAGAATGGCTAGTTTTTTTTTTACCATACGTGATTACTATTGAGCTTTCCATACTCTACAGAGGGAAAAATTGATAATGTTTGAACATACAAGATTGCTATGCCCTGAAGTTCTTCAATGTTGTAAGGGTATTGACTTTCTCAATTAAGGGGGAAAATGATGGGCTACATGCATGATGAAAAACATCTTCAAGAAGGGTATTGACTTTCTCAATTAAGGGGGAAAATGATTGTCTAAAGTGAGTAATCGTATAAAATCCCATACACGCTTAATTTTTTGTGAGTTGTACTGGGTCTTTTCCTACAGGGATATGAATAAATTATAATCAAGGATGGGGTCAGGCAGTACAATATCAGCAGTGTTCAGAATTCCAAGATGAAAGCTCACCGGAGGCAAGTGCTTATGTAGGAGATCTCTTAAAATTTGTGTACTGATATATTCTCTTGTCATTTGCTTTGATATCCTGATTTAGTTACACAAAACAATTTTTGGTCAACAAAATGTCCCTGCCTAAATACAACTTCATAGTTAGTTACTGACATACCCATAAAGTGTCAGCTACATAATTTTAAAAACCTCCAATACAAGCAGATTCTGTACATTTAAAGCATTGTTCAACCTCCAGGTGACATGACATTAATGTCCCATAGAAACAACAGCTGTGATTAAATGAGAAAATACAAATCCATTGCTCTGCAAAATGTACACACCAGTATATTCCTTTAATTATACCTTTATTACTAAAATGGCACATGAAAACATAAATACAGGAGGGAAAAAAGAAATTTTGAAAACATTTTTCCCGGAGATTGTTCACCTGAAGTCCAATTGTTAAGAGGCAAATCTTAGCTCTAATTAATCAAAAACACTGTATAGTGAGCAAAGCTTTAGACAGTTTTCCTCCCTCTCTTGTATAGGGAAAGGAATGGTTTAGGACTATCATACTGTAAGTCATGTATGGAGTGGAGTTGGTCTGGCTTTGTTAAATCAGCTATTTATTGTCGTCAGATGGGTACATGTGTCCATGCAGAAGCACTAAATTAACCCTAATACTCTTGTTCATGGAAACCTTTTAACAACTACTTGTCCAGGCATCCTGATAAATTTGGCAATGGTATCAGAATTGATGCTGTCAAGACTACCTACAGTATGAAATAATACAAGATACAGTTATGAAATAATGTCTTTTATAGTGACATGCCAGACATTATATCTGGTGACAAAAATTGTTAAACAAAACCTGAGAGAATATATTATCCCTCATTTATAACTAAAATATCTATAGAGTATTTCAAATTCTTGGTAATTATATTTCAACTTCGTTATAAATATGTCCAGATTATTATGAGAGAACACATGAAATGGAGCAGTAGAACATTTATATATATAGCTCCATCATCTTAAAAGTAAATCAAAACCAGTTATATTGAATACAACAATAATGGCACTACATAGACTTACACAAAATTCTTATTAATAACCCAAATAATCACTGAACCAACACTCATGATTAAAGCCAATCACTCCATTGCACATTATAAAATCCTGTCACTGGCAATACAGAATATTTCATCTAATCAATTTATAATTTTTCCCTTCTAAAATAAGACTGGCATTACACTAAAGATAGACTTTAAACAAGTGTTGTTGTACTTTATTTACTTAAACCCTGTTTTTTTCTTTTTATAACCCAAGTTTTTAAAAATAATTCACCCATATCCTACAGCATCAAATTAATACTGTAGACAGAAGAAAACTACATGAAACAAGTAAACATAATTCAACTATTGTAGTAATTTCTTTTTTTAACTGCAGGTAAATGTAACAGAAAAACAGAAGCCCTTATTGTACTTTGAAAATTAATGTAACAATCCAATATTTATGTATCTGTGTTTACATAATGCAAATTAACAATACAACATTTCAAATGCTTTGAGATTTCACTGATTTGGTGGATGTGCATCAGTGAACTCCAGATTGACTAGTCAAATTTTTTTTCATTTTTCCTTTTTGCTTAATGAACACATAATAATAAATAATTGGCAGTAAGACCAAAATGGCATCAACCACAAACCAGTTCTCAAGTAGAGCAATCATTTCATCTCTAATTCATAATCTAATACTTGTAATATGAGCAACTTGGAAATAATGGTGGTATATTACCTATAGATTTTTAAACATCTGATCAGAGGATTTTAAGGAATAAGAAATTCCCTGAACACGGTCCTATCCCCATCTCCAAAGAGGTGATGTAGGGCGTACCTTCATTCAAACTGAGTTCTTGTTGAGTATGTTTCTCTTCACTCACAGAACACCTGGGAATTTAATCGTCTCGACACTCACTAACCTTCTGCAACCATTCTAGATTAATTCTGGTAAATCTAAGAAGGATACCTCTTTCGCATGTCACCTAATCATGTAATTTAAACCTCATTTTTGAGTGTTTGAACATTTTTGCAACAGAAATGAGTTAATAGAATACCAGTTCCTTGTCACCTTTCACTACTCGTCTGTAAAACCATACCATGAAAAGCAAAATCCAGTAACTATGGGGTTTCATTACTCCATTCATAAAATAAAAGCCTTGTCTTCTCATTTTCTTCACACTACGCTTTGTCCACAATTATTTTCCTTAACTGCGTGAGTGCAGGGGCAGCAAGACTGACTATTTTCCAGTCACTTAATAAGTCAAAAGAAAGGCCCTCACTGTTGGGTATCTTCATGAAGATCTGAAATGACATACTGGATGATCTTCTTGCCAGCAAACTCAACCAGCTGAATCTGCTCCTGGTTCTGGGCATCTACACTACGCTTCCTGAGTTCTGAAACAGAAAAACAGTTTGTGTATTAATCAAGAAAATTGTAGGAAAATTTTAAGATATCCTGTAAATTTGATATAAGTATCAGTGACATACCTGGGGTGTAAACTCGTTCCAACCGATAGGTAGGGAAGTTTATACAATCCTTGGCAATGTACATTCCCAATGAATCGTAGTCCTCAACTGGTGGGTAAACCACACGCATGGTTTCACGTACTACCTCTGTATCAATGTTGTAGTAACCTGATATGAAAAGAAATCATTGTAAAAATATGAATACCAGTAGGTAGAATACAAGAAATTTACATATCAAGGAACTGACCATAAAACACTACAATATTTTTTCAGTAAGCTATAATAGTGCAGAAGTATAGTTAAAAACATGTGATAAAGAAAAAAAATATATATATTTTTCTAACACTGACAAAATCTTTGGAAAATTACAAAAATCATACCCATCCACATCTTCTTCACAAGGTCAAACACAGTTCGTGGAGGAAGAACATGATTGCGGTCAAGAGGCATCACAAAGCAACGTTTGGAGGTTAAGTCAATGATTCCAGTTTTGTTCTGAAAATTACAGAAACAGATGATTTCATACAATTACTCCAAAAAATTATAAAACACATCATATTTTCAATTCACAAAACACTTAATCAGCAATCATAAATCAGTAAAGCAAAAACCAAACCAAATGAAAAATCTGCTACAAAATCTGAAAAATTTGTGCTATGCTCAGGTCCTCAGCATCTTTTAAACAATGATCAAAAATAACAACTTACGGCCTTGAAGTCATGAATGAACCTCCCTTGGCGACCAAAGCCGAAGTCAGGCACATGGATCTGCTCGAAGCTCTCATCATCAAGATCAAGTTCGAATTCTTCTTTGAAAAGGTTCATTTCTGGGTATCCCATATACTGAAAAGTAAGACTGATATAGTGCTCCGGTTTAGAAACTGGGTATCAGGTTTAACACAGGATTCACACAGAAATTTTGATGGTAGAATTTGTAACTACATATCATAACAATTCTAACTATCTATTAGAGGAGCTCATTCTCTACAAATTATTTACAAGTATTTAGTTACAATCCAGGCACACAAATATATATATATATATATATATGTATATGTATATGTATATGTATATATGTATAATGTATATGTATGTATATGTATGTATATGTATGTATATGTATATAATGTATGTATAATGTATGTATATGTATGTATATGTAATGTAATATGTATGTATATGTATGTATATGTATGTATATGTATGTATATGTATATTTCTGATGAAGATATAATCAAACCGGTTAAATACATCTCTTATATTGTGAAAGATATCGTTCTCATTCTTACCTTTCTACACACGTGTGTGTATATATATATCGTGTGTGTGTGTGTGTGTGTGTGTGTGTGTGTGTGTGTGTGTGTGTGTGTGTGTGTGTGTGTGTGTGTGTGTGTGTGTGTGTGTGTGTGTGTGTGTGTGTGTGTGTGTGTGTGTGTGTGTGTGTGTGTGTGTGTTCATGCAAATTAAATAAAAAGTATAAGAGAAAATGCAAACAGAAATTTCATTGCATATCACTTATCTTCATGTTATGTAACAGTTAAGCTACAGGCTAAAGTTTTCCTTTATAAGTAATACTGAGGAAAAAAAATAGTTGATTCATGATTCATTATAAATCTTTTCTGAATGCTGGGCTACAGAAACAATTTATGAAATGAAATTAGGACAGTGCACATAAGATTTTCATCTACTGAAAGGGTACCAAATGACAAAAAAGTCTGTCCAATTTCAGCGAAATTTGGTACATGGAGAGGGAATTATGACAGATAAAGCCTGGTACATCACAAATAAAACTGGGATTGCACCATTTTGTTTACATCCACACAAGATATTTGCAAATTCTTCATATTATATCTAGTTATAAAATAAAGTGATTAATAAATTAGGCATAAGCTTCTTGTGATTGCAAAGGCACATGAATCATATGTAACGGTATTCATTGTAAAAGAAATGGACACAGGATACGTTCAGAGAAATTAAGAAAAAAAAATCCCATGATAGTTTCCACACCGCAGTGAAGAGGAAGAGGCAGCATTAGTTACAGCATGTTAGTAGCAGCAGCAGCACTATTTTTATGGCTTTCATTCCTTTGTATTTCATATCAGATCTTATCATAATATCAGTATGTGCATCTATTTAAATACTGTTAGTCATCAATCTTCACAAGAGCGCTCCTGCTAATTACCGGAGTATCAGATCTTGTTTCGCTTGACTCAGGATTTTTCTCTAAAACTGGCTCTGAATCTAAGACTGGCTCTGGCTCTGACTCTGTTTCCACTTCATATATTTCTTCTGCGAGATCAATATACTCTGCATCAGCCAGTTCTCCATCTTCCCTTGGTATGGATGCATCCTGGGGTGTCTGAAGAAAAGCCTTATTGTCTGAGGGTCATATATTGTCCTTCTGTTCAATCCAGTCCATAGGACTTGTGTGATCAAAATGCCACATTAAAATGCACCAGAAATCATTGATTAGTCTGCCTTAAAACAGTCTGTATTGCACACAAAAAAGGGAAATAAAATAAAATAACATAACACTACATGCATATTTTCATAAAACATATATATAGGTAAAGATTTTAAAAAATAATAATAAACACATTTAACCATAATGTTTATTGCATTTCACTTTGAATCTGTGCAATGCAAATCCCATACAGTGATTTACCATGACAAAATTTTTTTTTTATGTCACTGCAAAATAAAGTAAAGCCATGATTGTGGAGAAATCTGTAATGTCCCATTACATTCACATCTGAAAGACTTGCTAATCTAACCTAATCCAGGGTTCTCCTGTTCTCAGGTTAAATGACTTCTTTGGATAGGAAAGTTGAAAAACTATCACTTTTTCTTTTCTTTCAGTCCTGTAAAACTACAATCCACTGTCAAATGAGTAGGTCCTTGACCCCTATTAAGTAATGTATGTCATACAAATCTTATTCATATTCTATTCAGATTTGTTCTTCAGAAAATAAATATCCCAAGGAAATGAAGATCTGTTAAGCATCAATAAACTCTGTTCAACAATTTATAACCAAAGACCAAAGATTAATCAACATTTTCATCAAATTCACTGAAAAACCTGGCACCACTGATAAACCAACATATTTTACATCAATCTTTTTTTTTTTACATAATGCTGACTTTTCTGTTCTGCCACCTGGCAAAAGATCTTAACAGCCTCATCCACTAACTTTTTCTAGTTCCACAAAAGCACACTCGTCCAAATTAAAGGGATGATCTTACGTCTACCTTCTTATCCACCGCCTTATGGACAAATGTTTTTTAACAAAGAATCAGTCGTTACCCAAAGCTATTTTTATGAACTGATGAGGTTTCCTAACTCATGCATATTTGTATTAATATTTGTCAATGACGATGTATCAGTATTTTCTGCCAACAGAAAAGTGAAATACAAAACATGACACTCTCTGGTTTCCATCATAACAGTAATATCAATGGGCCAAAAGAAACAAAAAGGTGATAAAAAAGGACAAAAAAACAAAAAGAAAAAAATAAACAGAATAAAGAAAAAAAAGAGGAAAAAAAGAATAAAAGAAAAAGAGGAAAAAGAGAAAAAAGAAAATGGTTAATGGTTGTAACAAATAAATGTGCTAGACATCTAAGGTCATATAGCACTATGGTAAAGTATTGTGGTAAAAAGGGTAAATGAGTTAACAATTAGTATAAACATCAAATCAACGGGTAATACTGGTAAAGATGGCTATTGGAGAAGTTGCAGGAGAAGAGTCTGGGAGATGAGATAAGGGGACGAGGAGGTGAAGTATCAGGAAGAACATCAGGAGGAATTCAAGGATAATGGAGAACATGGAGGAGAGGA